TTCTGCCTTTCACGCAGGAGGCCCGGGTTCGATTCCCGGCGTCGGAATTCTTTTTTTCTCTGCTGTTCAAGAAACTCTTATTGTATGTTTACAATAGAATGGACGAAAAAATGTTCTCTGGTGCCATACTATAGTACAGTCCGACGTGGTCTAGTGGTTAGGATTTCTGCCTTTCACGCAGGAGGCCCGGGTTCGATTCCCGGCGTCGGAACTTTTTTTTGTTTTAATCAACAAAATATAATGTATTACACAGTACAAGCGTTTTGAAGCTGGTAATATTATTGATCATAAATCATAAATCGAAAATATTTTTGTTTCACTTGAATAGTTCTTGTATTGCGTGGAATAAAAAAGTGAATTTAAAATTTGTCTCGTGTTTGTCAGTTATAATCATAGGTAGAACGTATCAACCATAAAAATAATCTAAACAGAATGTCTGACGAATCACAAGAAAACTCTGTTAAATAAATTTTCATCAAACAGTACACTCTAATCCGCATGAACAAGTTCATCACGTTGACTTCACGAAATATAAAGCAAGAACGACAAGCTATACATGAAAAAAGTACAGAGAAATCATCGCCATCTTAGTTTACAGCTATCAAATCATTGTCAGATCTGACATAGAAAAATAAAATCCAGTTTGAAAATGTTTTTCAATGTAAACTGTTTTGTTTGTTTTCAATAAACCATCAGTATTCTTATTGCAAATTCTTAATTAAATAATGAAAAACCAAAAGCTACAACTTTTCCTTAGGATGTTAAATGACCACATTACTCAACTAATGTTATGTGCTCAAATTGCCATACGACAGTCAATTCACCTATCGAAACATCCAGTAGTCTTCTCACTACCTTTTGTGACATAATCTAATTCTTTTTTTCAGATGTTCTCTGGTCTTCATTCCATTTTCGTGTCTCATCTTGTAAAAAAAACTATTCATCATTGTCCCAAATATAACTGTTTATTAAGTGAAGTACGTGAACTCCAATAAAAATTAACTCATAAAATCTTATCACATTTGATGTTTTATTTAAAAAACAAATTCAACATATACTCTGGAATGAGTCTAGTTTATGTATAAAATATATATAATTATATGCATATAACAATACAATAAATAGATGAAGTTTTCTTTTTGATTAATTATCAAAATCATCAACATTAATTCGCATAGTATTTTGTGGGGATTTTCGACGTCCACTGGATCCATTAGTTTGGCTTCGATCATTTTCAGTTCGATTACGTTCACGATTTAAACGTTTTTGTTTCTTTTCATGTTCAATTCCTTGTCTTTTATTTTGATCATATGGTGTATCAAAATCTTCTACTGTTAAATGTTCACCTTCAAGAACACCAATTACAGTTAAATCAGTTAATTTAAAAGGTTCAAGTCTAAGATTTGATTTCGATGTTTTTGACGATGTATTTGATGTTTTATTTTTTTTACTTTGTGATTGATTTGTATTTGATGACGCTGGAGGATCAATAATTATCCATTGTGCACGATCAGAAAAATAACGTGCTAATGTTATTTTTAATGCTTGTTTAGAAACATTTTTATAATGTAGATTATTTGTCATAAATGATGATAAATGTGTTAATACATGTTGTTCAAGATATTCATATTTAGCAATGATGTTTTCTTTTAATGGCCAATGAACTTCAAATTGACATTGAAAATAATTTCCATCATCATCTTTCGAATAGACTATATTAAGAAGTAAATCTTTTTTTGCTAATGACTCTGGATGAGATAATGATTCGAATGCGTATGAATCAAGATCTTGAACTTTTGCTTGTCTAAAGACAGAAAGAAAAAAGAAAAGTGTTGTTTTTTTTCTTTAGAAAGAGTTTTACTTGAGAGTGATGAGAATCGGTTCATGAACAATAGAGACTGGTTGATCGTCTTCCATACGATAAAGACGGATAAATTCTAATGGTTTAACATCACGTGCATAACCAGGAGGAACTTTCAACTCAATATATTTAGCAATACGTTCACGAAGAACATTGAATGGAGATATGACTGGTAATTCAAATGGTTCTTCCAATTCGACCATATTATATTTCGGTTCCGTATGAACTAAGAAAAAAAGAAGTACAAATGTATTATCTTAATCTTAAAAACTTTAGAACAGTGCTGCTTTTAGTAATGTATAGTCCTAAGAATGACTTTTGAAACATCGATGAATGCATGAGAAATCTACGATAATGATTGATTTTTATTCTATTATTCAAGAATTTTATACTGAAGGAAAACAAGTGTAATTCTTATATAAAATCTATATTATATAATTTAAAATGCTTCTGGCTTATTATAAATTTAGGCTTAACAAGAATAAATAATTTGTTCTATAATACTTAGTTTGAATTACATTGGAAAATATTTAATTAGATCATAATTGAAAAATTAGATAATTCTAGTGAATTCCATGCAAAACTCTATATTTCATTTTTTTGAGTTGCAATTATTTTTATGACACTGAGGATCAAATCATGGTGCGTGTTTGCTTTTCTTTCAAAAATATCGTTTCCAGAGTTCAGAAGAATCTAAATACTAGAACTACCGTCAGAAAATGTGTTTTTTTTCGATGGTACTAATTTTCGAAAGACTGTCGAATTTCGTAGGCACAACATTTTGGAGAAAACAAAAGGATGAGCACATCAATATGACAAAAGTATTCGTTCAAAAAAAAACGTTAAGCTCGAGCGGGCTCACCGTGCGGGGAAAAAAGGGGAGGGGGGAGAAGAAATTCGTTCTTCTTTTTTTTCAAAACTTGATTTCGAGAAAACAAAAAAGTAAATTTTTATGTCTTTATGAAGTTTTTACTTCAACCAAAGTGGTCGAAAACTAGCAGTATTCAGCAGTGTGACGAGTCCATGATCTATGCTCTAAGCATCTATGAGATGAAAAATAATCATTATCGCTAGGAGAATTTTGTATAGAAAAAGAAACATCATAATGCAAGCTTTTCTGCTAGAGGTATCAGAATTTGAATTTAATAAAAGTACTAAATAGCAAAGAAGACCAGTCATTTATATGGCATCCGACGGAGAACACAACGGAGTTTTTGTAGCAATAAAAAACCAAAAATAGAAAAAATTTCGATTTTCATGCCCGAAAGGCAGGGTCCGCTTAATGAAAGCATTTTTGATTTCACGAGAATGAGAAATTCAAATTAAGACTTATGATCTAAATATTATTTCTTTCTTATATCAAACTATAGAATAGAAATTCATTCATACTAGCTTCACTTGATTCATAAGTTTTATCAACAATTCTTGAAATTTTCAATCTAACATAATTTTTCTTTGCAACACTTCCTGGTCTCATTGTTAATTGAGCTCCATTGGTAAGATCATTAGCAGCCAATGTTTGATCAAAATCATTTAAAGGTGGCCCATCATTAATCAATGACGGTTTAACTTCACATAAATGATATTCATTATCATTTTCTAAATAAAAATAAATAAATAAATAAAGTTTTCAAAAGAAAAATAAATATTTTATCTTTATTTACCATCGATATTTAATTCTTGTTTAATAACTAACCATAAATGAGATAATGTTATATTTTGATCAACAACAAGTTCTAATGAACACGGTTCACGATCAGATAGAATATAAAGAAGAATGTCATTCTCTTTTAACGATTGACCAAATTTTAAACATAAATTTGTGTTATTTTGTTTGAATTCAATTGAATCAACTGTTTGATGATCATAAACTACGAAAAAGAGAAAAAGAACATTCTTTTTGTTTTGTTAATTTAAAATTTTACTTACGAGGAATATGTGCAGCATCTGGATCATCAATATATAAACGACACATACATGAATCTAGTGATAAACCAAATGCTTGAATAGCCATGCGTTTAACTTCTTCGATAAGCTAACAAAAAAATTGAATATTTGAAATCTTTTCTTTCTTTTTTTTTTTGTAAACTTACTGTTGTATTTAAACAACTGTAAGTCATTGGTTTTATATTATTTGTATCAATACTATTTTTAACTGTTAATGATAATTGATTTTTACCAAAATTTGTACTGCTCGATGACACGTCTTTCCAATTAGGTACACTAGAAAACAAAACATAAACAAAGTTTCATTTTAAAGAAATTAATATGAGAGAAAAAAAAGATATTTGTTTTTACAGAGAATTTCTATCATCAATTCCTAATGTATCTCCATCTTGTAAACGTAATTGTGCTAATGTTTGTTTTTCTTCATCAGTTTTATATTCTCGACGTGATTTACGATTATTTTTTTCTTCTAAATTTAATTTACCCATACGAATCTGTCGTAATTTTTGAGGATCATCATGTCCATAATAATCATGATAGAGAATTTCTTTTAATTCTAATAATGTTGTATTTTTTGATATATGTCGTATAGTTTGTAAACGTGATGTATGATTATGTGCATCAGGAAAACCATAAACAATATTAAGCATTATTGGTTCAAACTCTTCACCTTGTAAAACTGTGTCTGGTAATGATGATGGATTTGTATAAACAATAATATTACGATAATTTGATAGATCACTTTTATCTAACGTTTTATCATTACTTGATCGAATTAATTCATTTATAACATGTAATTGTCCAGAACGAAGTTTTTTAGCAATATAAAAATGACTTCCTACACCATATATGTCCTAAATATAAAGATATTACTCATTTTTTAATCGAACAATTTTTCACGTTTATACAATATAAAAAATCGAATTAATGGAAGTCTAGCAGATGTATGAGATAACCCTGCGGGATTAGAGACCAAGAGGCAATGAAATTGAAACTGTATTTTCATATTTATATTTTCATCTAATATATGTAAATAAACGAATGCTCATAATACTATTGATGTCAAACGTTTCATATAGGTTTTACATGTATGATGATTGAGTTTTATAAATAAATCTAAGACTACAAAAAGCCATTCAGTTGATTTCTAAGAGAGACTAAATTTTTTTTCTACAGAGTTCAAAATAATTTGACCAAGTTAATAAATAAGATGTAAACTCAAATGAAGAAAATATTTGATAGATTAGACGCTTATTCAAAGAAGACACATGATATAGAATTATCAATCTTATGACATTTCGCATCACAGATGAATATGATTCAGCTTTGCTGATATTGAGTCAGAGACGGAACCAATTTGAAAACTATGCCGATACTGAACTAACGAGTTATCATACTATTCTATCTGTGAATAGTGATATTCAACGTAGTCAATTTTCAACAAAGTTTCATTACACATTTTCTATGAGATAATGTCGAATTGATTGAGATTTCTTACATTTTTTTAAAGCACTTAAAACTGTGTAAAGAACTGCGATGAAGAATTTTCGTTTAGGAACACTGAGAATAATACTTTAGAATCGTTTTGAAAAATTTTCTCATTTATTTAATACAGAGATCGAATNGGTATGAATAGGTCACATTAGAATCTCAAACCATCCTAGTTCAAACTAGAATTCCAAATCGAACTAGTTCATCATAAGATCGTTCTATATCATACTAGTAAGAATTAAGATTCTTAAATGTACTAGTTCAAATCAGAATTCCAATCTGAACTAGGATGATTCCGAACTCAACTATATTCTAAACAGTACTGTGACATATATATATATTATATTACAGATTATATCAGTTAGATAATAGAAAAGAAAGCATGATAAATTATGGATACGTAATTAAAAGATGTAGGCGTCAAATCTATAAATAGTTATAAAAAATTGTTCTATCGGGTCATGTTCGAAGTAAACATTGAGCAATGAAAAAAAAAGTATAGCTTTTTCTAATGCAATGATTCTATCTGTTATCTTCATCATGATCTGTTGGCTCAATATATTAAATATTATTAAAAATTTTTTATGATGTATTAATCAAGTATGTCATACAAACGCGTGACCCTTTGAGATAATCAAAAAGATTGATAAGTGATTTCTTCATATTGTTTCTCTACTAATTTTCTTTCAGTCTTGTTTTTCTTAAACTCAGTTTTTAATATATAAATAAATGTCGATAGGATTAGTTTTAGTTTTTTATTTTTATTATAATTGAGCATTTTGTATGTATTTTTTTTTTCAAATATTAATAAGTCTAGTCTATTGATCAATTAATAGTATTTCTATAGTTAAAATGCGTTCTCTGTTTATTTTCATCATTTCTTTTCATATGTCAATCAGTGAAATATTTGTTCACGAACAAAGTACAATAAGTTTATAGAATGTCATATCATCGTAAAAGAAAAAAATAGTTGATATAAAGCAGATGCTCCCATTCCATTGGCAGTTTTAAGTTAGATAGACGTACGCTCATTTGATTTATTACACTACGGAGCCACAATTCAGCTTTTTATATCCCCAATGTCATCAACAATTCTATAATAAAACAAAATATGACAAGCGAAGAATAGTTTGAAAATAAAAATTCGTTCTAAATCGACAAATCATAAACAAGACATCTTAGTACAATTTTAAAATATCTGGAACAAAACTACGTCACAAGAAGTTTAAATTATTAATTGTCAATGTCCTGTTGTGTTTTATCTAGGATTTTTATACATGGAGGGAAATATGAATACAATGAAAAGTGTTTATTGAATAGAAGAATCTCCTTTCCTTTATCATTATTCATAATATATTAAAAGATACTTCCGTTTTTTTGTCGAATTTATGTACAAAATTGAATTTATGTTTAGTATTTTTAAGAAGTTCCTATAAAAAAATATCTATTTAATGGTATAGTATCCAATAGTGATTCAAATATGTTTGTAATCTAGGTTAATTTGCATATGTCTTTGCATAGACTAATGCTAGAGCCTTGAGTTTCTCTGAAAAAGATGAGCTATCGAGTTCTCTACAAGAATGACAAAAAGAAAAAGAAGTCTTTTTGACTTGCTGTGATGGACTGATAGAACTGAAAGTAAAGATGTATGGAAGATTACTACTTGTCATTAATATCAAAAGTAACAAAAAATCTTTGTAATAATACTTTTTTTACATTTATTTTTAGATAGGCGAACCATAACACTGGCATTTTTTTAAAAATGGTGTATCATGAAAATGTTCATCATGATCAAAGCAATAGATGTTCTTGATTTATTCTAATTGATTTTGAGGGGATAAAAGGACAGTTGCACGAAATACTGTAACTAAAACGCTCCATTAAAGGAATAAGTTCATTATACAAAAAAAAACTCATTGCTCAATACAGTGACACTGTGCACGTGGTTCTCATGATGTTAGAAAATGGTAAGAAAAAATAAAAAAGTGAGCACAAAAGTTAACGGTTTAGATTGAGAACTGAATTGAATTCAGAATATTGAATAATGACAATATCTTCCACAATTTTACTTATACTTCTTTAAAATTGATTAGAATACATCAAGATCATCTATGGTTTTGTATATGGTAAAGAAGTTCACAAAGTATTGTTTAAAAAAATACAAGTTTTTATGATTTATCTCTATAAATATATATGTAAACAAAGTATTATTACAAAGATTTTTATTAGGTTTGATATTACTAGCAAATAGCAATATTTTCACATATCTTTAATTTTAGCTCTATCGGTGCATCAAAACAAGTCAAATGAATTTTTTTAATGATATCATTATTCTAGAGAATTCGATAGCTCATCTTTTATAACGAAAATCAAGGTTTTAGGATTTATCTATACAGTGATATATTTGCCAAATAAATTATACTCGAAATATCATGCATCCCTCAGTATCAATAACTTAATAGAAGAATATTATGTCAAGGATATGTGAGAGAAAAAATGAGCTACTAATTTCTTTTTTTTCTGCAATCTCTCCTATATTCTTCTCATTTCCGACGGTCTGTAATAAGAAACATTAGAAGAACGCAAGATACTATTATATAAATGATGGCTCTGATGACATTTGCTTGCTTATTTTTTGAAGAACTGTGAAACTCCGAAAAACACTAAATACACTCTTATACATACTTTTACATCATCAACATGCATTTTTATCGTATATGCCTTGTCTTTTTTCATATTGCCAGTGCTTTGAGTTATTTTCCACATTTAATTACTCATATAACACGTATTCCATTTCGTTATAGTCCTTTTCGTTCAAAAGTCGCTTATACAACTTACTGGTTTAGTTATTGTTTGCTTGTTCTTGGTGTTTTAATTTGGTGTTTGATTGTTGTATGTCGAAGAAAAACAATATGGCAAATAATTCAAGTATCTGCTTATGTATTAATTGCAAAATTAATTTATACATTATTTGATGTTACCGTAAGAATTCTTTTAAATTATTCATATACTGTTATTATTTTTGATATAATACATATTATATTATTAATTCCTGCTATTATATTCACATTTTTACTTGTTCAACATGTTAAAAGACAAAAAAAATTTCAAAAAAATTCTTCAGTAATAATTAGTCTTGAACAAGAAACATTGTCTTGTAATTAATTATATTAAATTTTTCTTAAATAAACTCATTAGATAGATAAGCAGATGTTCATAATTTTTATTGATGAAAAATATTTTTATTATGAGAAACTTGAAATACGTCAGAAATTTTTAATTAAACAATATCTATTATGATTCATTCAGTTTTCGGCACAACACTTCGAACAAAACCGAAACCTAATAAGATTTTTATAGAAAGTAGATTATTACACTCTATAAGTTTAAGAACAAGAATCTTGTAATGATTATGTCAATTCATCAAGACGCTACATCCTAACAAAGAGCTTTTCTTGTAGTGTGACTTAAAACTACGCTTCAAGACAAAACTGATCTTACACTTCTAGAATAAACTTAAACTGAAGTTATCAACAACAAAAAAAAAGATAAACTAAATAGAATAATGGTCGAAACAATTTTGATGATATAGTGAATCGAATAAAAAAAAACCCAACATTGAAAATATACGTAATAAAACTTTTTTTTGCTGTATTAACTATTTTAATGTCTTCTTCGGATGCATTATCAAGTACAATAATCGTAGTTGTCAATGATTTAGAGTCACAAAATTGACATTTTCTTAGACTACGCTTAATGGAAAACAACACGACAACATATATGTTTATCCTTACTAGCTCATCAAATTTTCAAAAATAGTTATAGGGAATTGGTTTTACAATTCTAATATAGTCTTAAATTGTACACGTTGTGAAAAAAAAATCATTGCTTTTTATCATACTCTTGAACAGACTACAAACTACAAAATACTTGTGAATCGTATTTTTGATGGATACTTCTATTAGTAATTAACCGAAAAAAATACAAAGTTCTCAAGGTTTCTTTGTATGTAGAACTTGTGACGCTGATCATTTTGGTAAAAAACACATATTCAAATGTACTCAATAAATCATGGTACCAGGATCAAAATAGTAGAAGAATTCGAAATTCTATGGACGAATAAAGCTGTCATAATTACTTTTTTTTTGTTTCAAAGTAATGAACAGTACGTCTCTTTTCAAATGTATTCGATTGATTATTTTTTAGAAGAACATAACTTAATATTTTAAGCTTAATTATACTTGAAGACAATTCTTTAGTATGTATTATCCAACAAAACTTCATGAAGTATGTAGACTAAAGTGATGATTATGTTAATCAGATATGATTATGCTTCGATAAGTATAATGAAGTAAAAAGAGGATTAACTTTTTTTTAATGTATTTATTCAAAAAAGATATATATAAATATATATGACAAGTCCTATGTCTTACGGGTTTATTCAGATCTTGAAGTGAGATATTCATTTTCTCGGATCGCCTAAAACAGAAACAATTTAGAAAAAACCAAGATAAAATATAGAAATATACCTCTTGAAAATCTTTAAGAACTTTCGTATATTGTCTAGCTTTATCAACTAATTGTGCTAATTGAATATTTAATGCATCACGTTTTGATTTTTCTTCTTGTTGGCGTAGTTCAATTTTAATTCGACTTTGTTTAACACTTTCAACAATAGTTTCTAATTGTTTAAGAAAGTTATCTTTACCATTTTGTGATTGAATAGCTCTAAAATTAATCAATATATAGAAAATATTTTTATTTATTAGAAACTTATTAACGTACTGTGGATAACCTTGATAAATTGATTCAATTAATGTTATTTCTTTTTGCATATAATTAATCATATCAGTGAATGTATTATATAATGTATAATTTTGTTTTGTTTGTCGATATAAAACAGCACTTTGATTATATAATTGAAAAAATGCTTGACGATATTGAGCTAATTCAATTGGAGTTGGAATATCATCTATATGTCGACTTATTGCAGAGATTTCACGTACTTTCTTTGCCTAAGAATAGAACAAAAAACAATCGGAATTTTCCCATTTGGTTAATACTTTCAACTAAAAATTCTTATGCATACATCCGAGATCGAAAGTAAAATTGAAGAAGTCTGAGAACATTCAACAAGCGGAATCACAAAAAAAAACAAGTTCTCTTTCCTCCAGTCCTCATCCTCGAGGTCCTTTCTATTATAATTCATATTTGGGATTAATGAATAAGCCTGATTTGAATATAGAACAGATAAAGTTTCTCTACGTCTTTTCTTATTCAAAAGAAAGAACTAAGATTTGATACATCTATGAAATAAATATATACAAACTATTGACTTCAATTTACTAAAGCAAGTCTTTGATTATGTAATCGATCAGCAACTAATTGATAGTGTTCTTCAATTTGTTTAATTTTTTCATTTTCTTCCGTATCTAGACCAGATGATGTTTGTAAACGAGTTTGTAATTGAGCAATTTCTTGTTCAAGTTCATTTTTCTTATTTTTATAAGTTGCACGTCGTTCTTGTTCTTGTTTTTTTATTGTTTCATATTCAGCTACAAGTGCTTCGACACGTTTAAGTGATCTAAAACAATATAAAAATATTTTGTTTAAACAAAAGAAAAAAGAATAAGTTAAATGACTTACTCAGGATCAATATCTTTTGTTTGTGCTTCAATTTGTTCAAGTTCTGTAGTTAATTGCTCATATTCTTGTTTAATCTTTTAGGAAATGAAAAAATAAAAATATTAAAAAACTTAATTCAATATATACTTCTAATGCTAGATTTCTTTTTTCTTCTTTTTGTATTTTTGCTTGTTCAATAAGATTCTGTAATGTATTTATTTTTTCCGTTTGTTTATTTAATTGTAGTTTAAATGTACGCATTGCTAATTGTTGTTGACCATTTTCAGATAAAAGAGCTTCTTCAATACGAGCTTTTTCCTTTGAAAAAAAAATTATTTTAATATACTATTTTAATTTTGTCTGTTACTTTTTCTTCGAAATCTTCGATAATTTCACGTAATGTATCTTGTTGTTGATTGACCAATGTATGTACAGTTTGTGTTGCAATTTTAGACTAAAATTAGAAAATGCTTTTTTTATTAAATAAAACAAAACGACATTAATCTATCTACTACTTTTTCATTAACCATATTTTTAATAAGTGCATTAATATCTTGTTGAGGTTTCTCATGATCATCAAATGATGTAAGCACTTGATGTGCTTGACCAAATTCAACAAGTGTCGAATGTATTCGTTTACGGCATTCATCGGGATTATTTAAACGTGCTTTTTTGCTATCCAAACATCGATAACGACGCTTAGGTCGATGAAGAATCTGAAAATAAACAATATTTCTTTTTGAAAAAATAATTCATGTTTTTTTTTTTTCATATAGAAATCTCACTCGAATAGCTTCAACATTTTGTTTAAGTGATACTGTTTGTTGATGCTGTATTTCATCTATTGTTTCACCAAATTGTTTATCATATTGATTTATTGTATAGGCTCGATTAAAATCACCAATATCAGCACGTCGTTCAAATACTCGTTTAACAAGCCATTGTACAACAGGAAATATATGTATAAAATCTCCACCTTGAATTTGATGTGGTTCTATTGGATTTGGACATTTCATACGAGATAAAACAAGAACAATACGTTCTGTTAATGCTCTAATTAAATAAAAAAAGTAATTTTCGTTTTTCTTTTTGATTAATTAGACGTATAAAACATGTTTTTCATACATTTTTTGACCAAGTGTAGCATTTTCTTGATAAAGAACATCGATATCAACAGTAAAGTTACAAGCTTGAATGCTCCAGGCAAGTCCGCCGACCACCTGCGAAAAAGATGATTATACATGCAGACAAAAGAAATGGAAGATTACTTTATCGAACTCAGACAATCCTTTGATCCGTACGCGAAAATAGCCAGCGGCTAATAATAATTCCATTGTCTGATCACATTTAGCTTTTTGTTCGGGATCTTCACGTATATCAAACTAATTAGAAAAAGCAGAGGAATTAAAATTAATTTAGAGAAAATTTAATATTATAAAGAAACACTTTTCGAATGATAAGCATTTTTGTAGTGTCTAGTCTTTTTTCTCTTTTTTTTTTTTTTATTAGTAATTAGATTTTGCAAATATCATTCGCTTAATGACAAAGAATAACAGCATTGTATAGTACCTTTCTCAGTCTACCTTCTTCATCCAGTGTACTCATTTTTTGTCGTACTAAAACTGTCTGCATTTTTTGTTCCATTGACGATAATGACATATTTTCGTTTTATTTTTTTTGTTTTCTTATTGAGATTTTGTTTTTGTTCAGATCTAAAATTATTAACAATTCATTAACCATTCATAGAAAGAAAAAGAGACAAATCTATACTTGACCTTTTTCTCTTTCTTTCGCTTTATCAACTACAAACTATGTATGTTTATTATGACACGATCGTCTCGCCATCGGTTCATTCTGTCTATGTATATGTGTCTGCTGCCCTCCTCCTTCGTTTTGCTTTCCTACTCCCACTCATGCTAGACGTTCTCCGTCAATGTCTGTTCAATGTAGAAGAGAAAGAGAAAGAGCAACATTCAATGTCCAGACAGACGACGAGCTAGTGAACAGTCGGTCGGGCAGATTGTGTCGTCGTCTTGAGATCTCTCACAATGTTTCTCGTTATTACGACTAACATATGATCAATTAGAATTGTTTGATTAACTTTAACGTATGACGTCGTCTTCATCATCATATATCAAAACTTCTGATGAAAATCATCCATATCATGATACTCCAACATCTTCCTCTTCAACATCCTTTTCAACATCATCGTCATGTTCAAGTCCTGATATTCAAAAAAAAGAATATGTCTTATTAAACAATAAATCACGTCGTAAAAAACGTGCTTTTATACCAGATGATAAAAAAGATCCAACATATTGGTCACAACGATCAAAGAATAATTTATCTGCTAAACGTTCACGTGTTAAAAGACGTATGAATGATCTTGTATTAGAAACAAAATTAACGCAATTAAATAATGAAAATCAAATATTACGAGCTAAAATTGATATGTTAGCTAGAAAATTTGGTCATTTAACAAATAAAGAAGAAGAACAACAAGAAGAAGAAGAATTAGAAAAACTTGATAATAATGAATCTGAACAAACAAAACTCTTAAATGTCCTCGATCAATCAACATCATCAAAAACGCATCCGACAGAAGAACAATCACTTATTGATAAAACGTCAACAACAGTACCATCTCCAATGCCAATCAAATGGCGTTTCAAATTATTTAATATGACATCTAATTCTTGATTTAATTATTGTATAATAAAAAATATGATTGGTATGTAAAAAGAAAAACAAACAAAACAAACAAAAAAATTCGAGATAATTTAATAAGTTTTGCTATCGAGATATCTCGAAGTTTTCTATTAACAAATACAGATTGCCACGTTTGATATTTATGAAAAACACAATACTAACAAGACTTTTATTGAGTTCTTTTTTTTTCAAAAAACAAAAATTTACTGTTGTATTGTCATCGTGTAATTTCAATTTCAATATAAATAAATAAATGTTTGATATTAAAAATTAATTTTTATCAAACAAACAAACTCATTCTTAGTTTGTAGTGTGTCAATGAAATTTTGCAATAAATAATTGTCTACAGATACCTTTAATCGTCAAAATAAAATTTATTGTTCAAAAATAAATAATTGATAATAGTGTGAGACACACGAAATGAAGTTTGAGTACTTTTAACAACTGATAAGATTACTGATATTTGATGATTAAACGAGTTCAGAAGTGATACGATTTCATCTAAAAATTTTTGATTACTTTTTTTGTTTGAATTATTCTTCATACTATTATCATATGGTGTCATATTTTTACTGGAGAAATATTTCTTTTCACTCCGTCTAATCTACAAGTTTTAGTTACAAATAAGAAGAAATGATTTGAGTCTTATGGCTCCAAATTTGTAGGAAAATACAATAAAATAAATTTAAACAAGAGCCTTCTTTTAGTTTAGAAATCTCATTCTAACATTCGTTTGATAATCTATTTCTATTTACACATAGCTGTTGTGATCTTAATTTACTGCATATAGTCTACTACGCAATATAAGAAAGACAGAGTCTGAAAAACTTTCATGTGTAATCTATAATGAAAAGATAGGTAAGTGCTTCTAGTTAAGAATTCAAACGAAACTAGACATGATAATGAATCTTTAATAATAATAACCATATATAGGTTTTTTTTTCATCAAATTCTTGCTATTCATTGGTGACACAATTAAATTAAAATAATAAACAAAGAACTAATAAATCGAAAATATAATGACATTTATTTTGGTTAGAAAATACATCAGGATAATGTTCTTGCGATAATGTGATCATGAGTGATGCACTCTCCCTCCTCCCCCATCTGTAGAAAATCATATATGATTCTTTTCAGTTCTCAAAAAATTTCCTTGCATTGCTCTTCTCTCATTGTTTTTCTCTCTTCACCACATCCCTGAGTTCTTCGCAAACTATAACAAAAAGAAGTAACGTTCTAAAACTGGATGAATTTCATGGATCTGTAAAGCAGTATATTGTTCACTGTGGTATTCGAAACGTGGGTTATGAAGACCTATTTTTCTCGAGATTAATGTCTTTCAATAATTTATCACAGATTCGAACTGAACTCAAAGAAAATCATAGGTTGAAAGAAAAACCTTTCATCTTCTTTTTCTCGTGAGATGAATAGTATCGTGACAATGGTAATCTTCTCTTTTCGCTTATTACAAAGCAATAATAATCAATATTTCACCACGATGGACATAGAGATTTTACAAACAAATTCTACATGCAATAACGCTCATATACACTCATACGCCTTCTTTAAATTAAAATAAATCAAAGAAAAACAGAAACATTCCTATATTTCTTTCTCTATCACAATAAAATCTGATAAAAAAAAAGAATAGAAATAAGAAAAAAAAATTTATTTTTTAATAAGTAATTCACAAAAGACAAAAAAGTCTATTTTAAACAACAAAAATTTCTCCAGAACAATCACGACAACAATTCAATGTTAAATTTTCATAACGTGTTGTTGGATGAAAACGTTCATGTGATTTTTTTTGACTAACTAATTTTAAACGTTGAATCATTGTTTCTAGTTGTTCAATATCATTTATACTTTTATCAATTGTATTTGTTGATGTTTGTAATGACGATGATACTGACGCATGACTTTGTAAAATCTAAATAAAAAAAATGTATTTTATATTAAAAATTGATTGTTTAGTTTTTTTTTCAAATGACTTCAAGTGCACATGTTTCTGTTTCAGTTAATTCAAGTTGTATACTCAATTGACGATGACTTGTTTGTTGATGAAATATAGTTTGTTTTAAATAATTATAAAGTGATGATGCTAATGTTTGTACATAAGATGAAAGTTGAATTAAATCAAATTTAGGTGAAATTGATAAATGTTTTCGACTATTATTTAATGCCATTTCGTTTAATAATGATAAAGAACTAAATAGAAACCAATAAAAAATTCCTATTAAACATAGAACAAAAGAAAAAAACAAGAATTTATACCTATGAGTTTGAATAAGTTCTTTAGCTATTTTAGAACGTTCACCCAGTAAACGTTGAATAACATTTGTACAATCATTATATTGAACACTTAATACACTTTTATGCATATTAAGTTCATCAATAAGAACTCTATAGAAAAAAACCTATTTGAATATGTAAATGAATAATTTATTGATGAATTATACCGGCTTCCGGCTAATTTGCTTTGATGAATATCACATTGAATAGTAAGTTTTTCAATTTCTTCAAGTAAATCATTGATTTTTCTTGTTAATATTTGAATTTCCATTTCATAACGAGATTTATCGCTTGAATAAAATATTAAATAGTTTAAGAATAGAAATTAAAAAACAAAAATTTACCGAAGAAGTCTTTCTAATCGATATTGAAAATCAGTTCCAATTGAAGCAACAAGTAATTTTTTAAGTTCAGCATTCACCTATAAAAATAATTTTTTAATAATCAAATTAATTAGAAAAATAAATACCTGAGTTTGAATTTCAAGTTGTTGTTTAAGACCAGCATTTTCGTCTTGCACACGTTCGAATTCATTTTTAAGTTCTTGTTGATCAATTGATAAATTAAGATCTTGAGATGAATGATTTGCTGGACTTAATGGTCTAACGACAAAACAAAAAAAAAAAACAAGATAAAGAACTTGTATATCAATAAATTTTAGCAAGGAACAAAATGTCATCTATGGATAATATCTTACCTAATTCCATAGAGAATTTCATCAACATTAATCGATGCTTGGAATGGTTCAACAGTAGCGGTGGGTTTAATTTTATTTCCAACATTTATCATTTCTTTTCCTATGACAATTGTTGGTGATGATGGTGGTAATGGTGATGGACATTTACTACTATTTTGATATCGATATAATTGTGTTGAAATCGATTGTTCAGTTATTGAAGGAATTGATTTCATTTGTTCTGTCCTTGAAACAGCTGCTCGAGTTGGCTCCCATGGAATGTAATTTAAATGTTTATGAGAACGTTTATTTATAGTTTGATCTTTATTAATCACCGGACTATTATTTGAATTCATCGAATCTAAAACTCAAAAGAAGAAAAACAAACAAATAAAACGAGATTATTTTGATTTTTATTGCTAATATACATTCCAAAACAAAACAAAACATTTTTAAAAGCATGTAAATTTATCTTATTGTTAAAATACTGTTCACATATGTAATGAGATCAATGAAAATACAGTTGAAAAACCACGAAATAAATTTTTTCCTGTTTGTTGTTTTGTTATTGTTTGATTATAGTTTGGTAAATAATCATGACCAAGTTCACCATTAGTAAAAACTCCAATTAATGGTGTATTAGGAAATAATTTTCGAAATTCAGAACATTCAACATTTTGTTCATCATTATAATAGTTTGAACCACGTGCAATACAACTTATTTGTATAGCAAATGATAAACAATGACTATTATCTAAATATTTTAATTCATTTAATTTATTTCTTATTTGTTCACGTGTACGTATATGATTTTCTAATAAAATTTCTCCAATATGTAAACGTTTTTTGTCACCTGTTATAACAATACCACATGCATCATATGATGTTCTTGTTGTATGTATTTGTCTATCATCATAATTGATTTTATCAACAAAACCTCCAATAATAGCTATTTGCGATGGATAATATTCAAGTAATTTTTTAATACAATCAACAGCATAGGATTGACGTGGTACAAAAAAAAATATAACACATCGTATTTGGACATCATCCGGTACGAAACCAAGAAAACGATGTAACTCTGAACGTGACATATCAGATGCTATTTGAGCATTGGATGGAATTTCAAATGGATATATTCCAAGAACATTTGGAGGAAAATGTGGAAGAAATAAAATACCAATAGCATCATCTAGATAAAATAAAAACAAAATTTCTAAATCAATTTTTTCTTTTAATGCATTTTAGATATACTTGATTCAATTTCATTTGATTGATTATTCTCTGTTGATGCAATAATTCCATCAGCTGCTATCATTAAAACTTTACATGATTTATTTAAATGTCTTGTAAGTGCTTGTGATATATCAAAACGTTCAGTAATTCGTGTTAAATTTCCCGTTTCAGAATGACTTCGTCGTGAATGTTTTATTGGTGGTGGGGAATTAGCTGACGAATAAAAACCTTTACTTGCTAAAATATTTGTTGATACAACTAATGCAAGCATTGGCACTGACCAAAGATTATTATTTATATATAAAGAAATAAATTGATCAAAATCATGTAAAAGATTTGAACATGTTGTTGTTGTTGATAATGGATTTGAAGGATATGTTAGAGCATGAATTGTATGACGATGTGATTTAGTTAAACGAGATATATTTGCCCATGATTGACAAACTAATGAACATGAATCAACTGAACGAATTGGTAAATGACGAAATATTGCTCGAGTTATATCATAAATTGTTGTAAATAGATCATGTGGTAATAAGGATACATGAAATTCGACCTTGTCATTTTCTTCCGTAGTACATTCATCCATTGATGTGACAAGGATCGAGTTATATATCTAACTGACAGAACAACTTTGTACCTACGTGATGAGTCATTGGTATCCATAAATTAGAACCAATCATTATCGAATGTCACTAGCAGACAGATAGAAATATCTTATATATTTAGAATACGTTTAAAAGGAATTCTAATGCAGTCTTAATTAGAGAAATCAATCTAAGCATTAGTGGCGGATCAGGATTTTTACGATGGAGGGCGATCATGATAATGCAACATGTCTTGAAGTTTATTAAAGATAGTGTTACATCATTTTTAAGTATTTTCTACTAAGAAAGTCGTTTGAAAGGAAGACTATCACCCTTAGTGCTCAGCGACGTAACTGGGATTTTTAGACCAAGAGGTAAACTTATCTTGTATCGGGGAAAAAAATCGGCAAAATCGGCAAGGTTTTTATTGATAGGTCAAAACATTTTTTGGCCCAACAAAGTACTGATAAGGTAAAAAATACAAACAACAATTGAAATTTGATTGGGTATGGATGTGAATGTAGGTGCGCGTGGGTATGGGCGTTGGTAGAGAGACAATCACCCTTACATCCTTAAATTTCCAGCACCAGTACGTCTTTTTTTTTGAACGAAAAATTGTACTTTAACAACGTATTGGGTCGCTTTGCATTCTACATAGCTTAATATATAGCTTATTATTGTAAATCCGGTTCGAAAATGAGAAGATAGTAGACCGAACGTATTATAAAAGTATAGACATACGTATGGACAAGCAAGGAAAAAAACATGCATAAGTAAATGTTGAGGATTCTTCCAATATGTGTCTGTACATCACACATAGGTATTTTCCCTACGAACTAGGTCTTTTCACATTTTGGTTTTCTCATTTATGTTTTCACATATACGTCATTGAATATTTCGTTTCTCTTGTATGCGTCACTCTCTCTATATATATATTTATATGTATCTACACATATATATGTTTGTGTGTTGCTCTCTTGCTCTGTGTTCTTGCTTCTTTTCTTCTTGATTTATCCTTCTTTACCTTTATGTCATTAGTGTTTTCCCAATAAAACCGAACTCATGTTCACCCAAACTTACAATTAAAATTCAAGAAGTGATTCTTTTCTTCTCCTTTTCTTAATTCTTCACAGAAAGAACAAGCAAAGAGTGCATGTGTGATTCAGATGGAAGAAAAAAATATACAGTTATTATCTAATTCAAAAATAAATAAACAATTCTGAAAAAGTAAAATTTCAATGGGCAAATCTCCAAATAAAATGGGCGATTGCCCATTTGCTTCTCCTAAACTCATTACTGCTAAGTGTGTTTGCACATTTGAAGAATTAGGTATTATTGAATTCGTCTATCATTGAATTTTGGTATAGAATTCAAAGAACAATCATAAGAGTTGTTAAAGATTTCAAATTTTGTGCTTTCTCGAATTTGATAACATGAATATCGATATCCATTGGTATGATGAAGTGTATCTACTTTAGACACATCAACGTTACACACAATTTCTTCTTTTACCACGTCAAAAAAAAAATATTTAAAAAGATATGATAGTTAGTTTTTATAATAAATGTTAAATATGTTCATACATTTGATAAGTATTTTCAACTGAAGAATATGATGTCAAATGATCATTTAAAAAATCGTAATGAGGAGAAAATGTTGCATACTGATTATTTTCCATCAATACTTCTGAATATTGTTGTTGATTATAGACTGATGCTGGTTGTTGTTGTTGTTGTTGTTGTTGATAATACATATTTTGTTTTTTTGATAAATTATAATTTTGATAATGATCATTCGAAGTTGATAATGAATAACCATGAACATTAGTTATCTCAGGTATATCTACTGTCATATGTTGTTGTTGTTGAGATGAAGATGGTTGTGAATAATAATATGAATTTGGATATCTATCATGAAACCATGATGATGGATGTTTATTATAATTACAATTGGAACTAGTAGTTGTTGTTGTTATTCTAGATTGAGGTGTAATCATTGTACATATTTGTTTGTTTGATCCGTTCTCAGTTGTATTACATGGTAACAAATGTTCGATTTTATGAAGTTGTAGAGACGAAGAAGTTGGTTGAATTTGTTGATGAGATGAAGAAATAATGATATTATTAGAATTACTTTTTTCTTTAGGATTTTCATATTTTATTGAATGGTCCTAATGAAAAAACAAAAGAACAATTATCACTTACATTCTGACTTAATTACTTTTTCTAATGTTTTTGATGAATCAGCATCCATTTGATCCATTAACCATTGATCATTTTTCTCATTTTCACAACATGAATGAGATGAACATTTTGTTTCATTTCGTTTAAAACAACCATTCATATTACTTTCATTTACTTCAAAATTTTCAGCTAATTTTGGATCTTCTAACATTAATTGTCTTTTATATTTCATTCGACTATTCATAAAAAAAAAATAATAAATTTTTATTTAATTTCATAAAAATTTCTCAACATACCGATTTTGAAACCAAACCTATAAAAAGAAAAGTATATTAAATTTTTAAATAAAGAAAATAATTTGATTGATTTTTACTTTGACTTGTCGTTCTGTTAATACAAGTGTTGATGCTATTTCAACACGTCTTGGTCGACATAAATACTTTGAATAATGAAATTCTTTTTCTAATTCAAATAATTGTTTATTTGTATATGCTGTTCGAATACGTTTTGGTAAATGTGAATAACCTGTAGATAAATTAAAGAGTACATTGAATGCAAAAAGTCCAAAAATAGATTAGAAGAACAAACTGATCTTTACAAATATGTACATTTTTTCTTTTCCTTTTGTTAATAATCATTCAAGTGAAACATAGAGATTTTATATTAGAGTAAAATATTATTAACCTGATCGTCTGTTTTTACGTGTTTTATTTTTTGTTGTTGATAATTTTTCCATATCATTTTCCAATAATTTTGTCATATGATAATTAATATTGTCATCATCTAGTGAAACACTAACAGTTAGTTGAGCAGTAGTCATTGCGATGTAGTCTTTAAACTATTCGATTATTCAATTAATAGTATTTTATTGAAATATAATAGAATATTTTGTTTTTTTATTTCTGTGTTTCTCATTTGATCCTTTAATAGATTCAATACGAAATCCTTGTCATCATTCGCTTCTAAGAAATGTTATCTATCCGCTGAATGGTTAACAAAAATAGGAGAAAAAGAGAATAAACTGTATCTTCTTTCTCCGATTCGTTGAAATAGTGCTTTTTTTCTGTTCTGTTGGTAGTCGTATATTAATATAACAGAAAAAAACAGAAACATCTTTGATTGTTCTAGTTTACACCCTTCAACGCACTTGAATGCTAGTGATTGCAATCTTTTGTTTTTTCTATCATATAATGTCATTCGCTGTAGTTCTGTACTCCATCAAATTGATCATTAGGGCATCTCTCTAGAGAAAATGTTCTATATATGTGTGTTAATGTAATCATAGACAGAGTTGATACCGACGTATATTTATTGATTTGAAGTTGACGGTTTTATGACATGTATCGGTCAGGGATACATAAATAGAATATTTGAAGTTATTCCTTATTCAGCTATATTTTCTTTTATTCATTAGCAAAAATAAAAACCTTGAAGAAGCGACAAATATAGTAGAGAAACTGATTGATCGGTTATACGAAATCATTAATTAACAAGACTTTAGTTGCCAGAATGTTCATTTCATTTTAGGGTGAGAATGTTTCTTTTATATTCATTATTTTGATTGAGACAAGAAGTTTTGAACGAAACTTGAAATCGTATTCCTCACTCCACTTAGTTTTAATTAACCTAATATACTGTTGGTCATAGAAAAAGAGATGTTTATAGAATATTGTTGAAAGTGTACTTTTTCATTCGTGAATGAAGTTTGATTTAAACATTCGATAAGAACTGACGTTCGCTCCGAAAAAAGGTTTCTCAGTGTCGAAAGTTGAGTCATATTGGGTATTGTACATTCTTGATAGTAAATAATTATACCTGATTATAGACTTGAATTTTAATATCAAAGATAGACATAAGTAAAATCAAACTTCTTTCCTTGGATTGTGAACCTAGAGAATGAAGACCACAATTAATGCACTATCATCGATCAGTTCAAGATATCATACTGTTCTACTATGATCTCATTTTCCTATCATACAGTTCCGCTTCTAAGACGATACTGTACCATAAGTAACACTAACTATTTCAATCAGACCGTTTTAAATATCATTCCACGTAGTCAACATAATTCTTTCTTGCAGCACACAATCAAAAGACATTTATTTAATCTATTCTAGACAAATGACCCCTAGGATCAAAAAATAATTTATTATGAATAAATAGATAATACAGAAAGAAAAAAGAATAAATAAGTATTGATAGATTTCAAAAATTGCCCATATCATTGATAGCAGTTGAATGAAAACGAGCAGTATCCAATGAATTAGGTAATTTAAGGAGTTTCAATGGTTGAGATTGATGATTAGAAATATCATCCATACTAACATTCATTTGTGATAAATTATATTTATCGTTACGATGATCACTCATTGAATCATAACATGAATCATTATCATCAATAGAAAGTGATCGTTCAGATAAATCCGAATTTGTTTTTTCTTCGATTTCACTTAAATATTCAGTTTGACGTGATGGATCATAAAGAATTTGTGATAAACGACAGCGTGGATAATTGAAATTTGAAAATGATGGAAAAGTTGGAAGCTAGAAAAACATATAAATCGTCTTCGAAATTATTTTTTGAATGAATACAGAAACTTACAGGAGTAGAATTAGATTGACGAGATATTTGTGCTTGAATAACAGGAGTTGATGATTTAATATTTTTCGAAGAAAATGTACGTTGAAGACGAGCAACAAATTTAATAAACGATGAAGAATGACGTTTACGTGATTGTTGTGATCGATGCATTTTAGATTTGAAATGTAAATGAACTTGTTTTTGTTTTTTTCGAGTATTTTACTATCATTATATCGAAAAAGCCAATTTCAATTCAAACAGATCATCTCGTTATTTACCTATAATTAATCAAAGGAATGTTCTGTAAAGTGACATTCAATTATTATATATGTATGTAAACCAATTAACCATTCTTTTTCTTTTTGCTTTTCATTCAATTCAATGAAGAATACTTTTCGAGAAAAATAATTTCATAGACGATTTCTCTTATTTGAGAATCAAGAGTTGGATAACAGTTGAAACACCAACAACTGATAATATATGTGCTGCAATTCATCAATTAGAATAAAGAATAGTATGTAGCAAATGATAAATGAATAAATGTGTTACAAAAAAACTCATTTGATTTGAATACAGAAAATACATGAATATATATTTTTGTTGGCATGTTTTCAATATTTCAGAACGAAAATTCATATTTATAAGGCATACATCTTGGTTGGATTTCATCTGTGATTAAATAATATTCATAAAGCATGATGACTTTTTTATGGTTGAATGTGTATAGTGTCATTGTGACGTGTGTTAATTTAAAGAATTGGATTGAGTTGTGCTCCCGATGAGTTAATAGATTGTTCACTGATAGATCTGTAGATAAAATTGATAGACAATCAAGAGATGGAACTAGAACGAATTACTGATAGTATACTAATACTATTCTATAAGAAATATTCTATTAGGAAAAACATTAGTCAGTGGTAAGTTATAAAATCCTATTGTAATTGTTGAAAGAGTGTAGGATGAGAAATACAAGTGAATGAAAAAGGTGACGAAGTAACAAAATTAGGATTCTGTGTAACACAAATTCGATATGGGTGTGATTCAGAAACATGAGATGAAATAAGTTTTTTCTTTGAATGTCAGTCATCGGAAGTAGTTGGTGAATTATTACATCTTTGAGAAGAAGCTAATTTTCTAAATGAAAACATTAAATGAAACACTTTGAATAAGGCGAATAATTTTTCTTATAGAAAGCAGACACGAAAGCATTTCAATAAGATATCTGGAGTAAGTAGGATTTTTTAGGCATCTATTAACCATAAACTTACACTTGTTCCATCTTTGTCATCTATTTGAATGATTTCATCTACATGATGACGGGTTGAACAAATGCACAATGACAGTACTTAATGATAATGTATTTCAATCGCGCTAAGATAGACTATATGTTCATCAATTATAGTGAGAAACAGTATTGAAGACTAATTTACAGTAGGAGTTTATATCCATGTCAGTAATCTCCATGAAGATTATTTGTTGGATATAATTGTGTCTTACAGTTAGAAATAATCTATTATTTAGTAACATGGTTATCAAAGAATTTTTGCAAAACGGCAATAAATCCGCGGCCGTATTCCATTCGTTTTGTTTTCTGTGTTGCGTTTACACTGTTCACCAGATCGCATGCAGTAACTACCGAAATTATTGAACCAGGTTTATTTTAAACTTTCTTCTACTGTCTTAAGAATTAGTAAGAATTCACATAGTGATTTGTATAGAGAATTTCATTTTCAGCAAGAATTTTTGAAGATGAAAAGGATTAATGGTTTTCAAAAGATAGGGTCTTCGAAAAACCGAAACTCAAGCTCTAAAACATGGAACGTCTTCTATCTTTCTACGACCTTTTTTCTGATCGAGATATGGTAGTCTGATAAGAGAGACAAATATATTGTTTCTATACAAAATAGTAGGAAAAAAAAGGATTGTAGAGAGCGTCTTTGTTTGTTTCTCCTTCTCTTCTCCCTCTCTTTCGTTCAATTGCTTATTATGAAATTTCTGAAATTTTTGTTAATGTCTTTTTCCTTTTGTCTCGGCATTTACTTTCTTACACCCATATGAGCTTGCTCAGTCAGTACTTAGTATAATAATATTGGTGGCAACTGTAAAATTCATTGGATTTATGTTGTTATTTAATGCTTAAATATCCTAATTTCTCTTTAGATTATCATATAAGCACGTCCGAGTGTTACATTTACAAAGATAATTAGAAAATATATTATAGACAAGTGAAAGACGTTTCATTTGGTAGAGAATTTTGACTCTATCATTTTGGATAATTCAAACAGAATTATATTTTGCGACTTTTAGGAGACAAAAAAACTTCGATTTCAATTCTTAGACACCGTACTGTTGGAAAATTAGTAATCATTTTCATTTTTGAAAATTCTTGTTGGAAATAATATTCTATGTACATTACTACTTGTATTTTTACTAATATTTACGGCACTTGAAAATAAAAATCGAAAATAAACCTGATCGAATAATTTTATTAACTATCATATATATTTATGTTTATTTAAATTAACCGAGTGGCGAGAAATATTTATGTTAATGATATTTTCCATCGCTGAACTCTCATATCACTATCATATCTTCACTGTTTACTTCGGATTTCTTCATGTACTTTATCGAGTATGAAAAAGAAGCTTGTTTTTTCTTCATTTCATTGGATATTCGGAAGAAAATGCAAAGAATATAGAGAAATATATATGAACTATTGTTCACTCGCCTTCATTATATTTCGATAATTTGCGTCTAAATTAGTCGGCGGTCGTCACTCGTCCACGGCATTCGTCAACAATTGCTAATAGCAATGAAAAACAGGCAGCTATGTTTTCGGGTAATTGACATCTATACATTCACCGCTTCTTTGTTTGATTACGGTATATATCTCTCCGTCCGACGAATACTTCAATATGATTCGCACATATATGGCATCATAAGTACATAGTACTATAGGATACTAACATCGAACTGAAAACGATCTTTTCCCTTTCTGCTAATTAGTATTTACGGAAAGTAGGTCTTCTATTTATATTCAATTCAGTTTGACAAGAAACATTTATTACATTGTTGAAAAATAAATGTTATTCCAACCTTATGATCATTCACAATCAAATAATTCATTAATGAATACGGCAATTATAGAATCAAGTTCATCTTTGATAGATTTACTCAATCAACAATCACCTGAAACAACAAGTGAAAGTGATCCAATACCAATTATGCTTAGTGAAACTACAAAACAACGTATACAACAAATCCGAAATCCAGAATCAAATGGTAGAGGTAATCAAAGTTTTATCTTATCTTTTTTTGTTTTGTTTTTGAATAATGATGACTTTTTTCAGATAATGAAAAACTGTCATCATTATTTAATATAACTGGTCGTGAACGAAATACTACAACACCTTTAAAAGAATGGCTTTATGAACATCAAGATCATCCATGTGAGTAATAAGTAAATTCTTCGATCGTATTTTCTTGATTGAAGCTGAAGATCAAACTAATTAGAAATGCAACAGTAAAGATGAAGGTTGAAAGTTAGTGCTGAATTTGAATTTAGTCTTCTTCGAGTAATCTTGATAATTATGTTTTGTTTTGGTTTTTAGATCCAACAGAAAGTGATAAACAAGAATTAATGAAAAAAACAAGTATGTCTGCATACCAAATACAAGTATGGTTTACAAATGCTCGTGTACAAATGCGTAAACAAAGGACATTCGTTTCGAAAAAACCAGAAAAAACGAAAACGAAAAAGAAAAACGAAAAAGATAATTCAAATGATGTGGCAGCAACTATAGATTTAACAGTATCATCTGATGATGAAAAAGTTGAATCACATATTGATTTATCAATGTCACTTAATACACAAGTTCAATTACATATTAATTCACCAATTCTATTAAATCATAAACGATTCGTTTTGGCATATTCTTGTTTATATGCTTCTGAACTTGTATGTTACACAAAAAGAAAAAGAAAATTTAATAAAAAAATGTCTCAAACTTTCGTTTAGGTTGAACTTCGTCGTTTCGTATCGATGTATCCTAATCAATTATCCATATCTGATTGCATTGATGATCATACAACTCATTTAATTATGGGGCGTGAAGAAAAATCTTTATTATGTCCATTAACAATGAAATTATTTCAAGCAATAGCCCGTCATTTATATATCATGTCATTTGAATGGATTAATCAATGTTTGAAACAAAATGATATTATTAATGAAATTAATTATGAAATGCGTGGAGATATTCCATTTGGAGATTATCATGATGGAATGAAAAAAAGTCGATTATCAAAAGAAGTTAAATTATTTGAAAAATGTCAATTTTTTATTTTATGTGATGGTTGTCAAGATAGAATGGTAAGTAGAACAGTAAATACAAATTTGAAGTAATAGATTTGCTTCTCATACTGAAAACTGTACAGTCATTGATTTTTGAATTTGTTTTGTTTTGAAACACTAAGAAGTCGATTGTTGATAGATTGAAATGCGACTAATCTTTTGGTAAATCAAACTTAATGACGTACACTTTTCCAGACACGTCAACTTAAAAATAGCGAGAAATGTATGTTGTTTCTTCACTGAAAAATAGAATCTATCGTTTTTCTATTGTTCGAATAGTAGATTGTAGTTTATACGTAAATTAATATAGACTTTTTTGTTATCTAAAGAAATTTTTGAAATTGTAGTGAAAATTACTTTTTCATTCGATTTTGATTTATGTTAATCATAGGTCATTTTTTAACTAATACTATATTTGTAATTCAACAAGTATGAAGAGTTATATGATGGTAGTAGGAATTTTTTTAAGTATTGGTATATATATATGTATAATGAATACATATCATTATGAACAATATGAATGAAAATTAGGAGACATAAATGTATTATTTACTATCAAGTGAAGTTACTTTATTGTTTGTTAGTGTCTCTGATGACATTAACTGGTTAGATGATTGTTTTGGTGTTGTTTTTTAAATAAAATTATTTTTATTTCTTTTTTAGTCAAAAGATGAACTATCTGCTTTAATTAAACTATGTCATGGTTCAATTCTTCATACATTTCCATTAAAAGCAACTAATGATAATTCAGCATTGACTATTGTTCTCTGTGACAAATTACTTCCATTTGATTCTGCCAGTCAACAACATTTATTTCAATTATGTCGTTCAAGTGGTGTTCATTTTCTTAGTCCTGAATGGATTATTGAATCAATTGTTCAATTTACTTTACAATCATTTGATTCTTATGAAGAAGACTTTTGATAAAACTCAAGAACTGTACTATATCTTGATTTAGTCAGATATAGCATAACAGTGAAAATAGATTAGTCATAAAAACTAGTAGTTATATTCCATTGATGTACTTTCTTTTCGTAATAAATAGGAAAAAAATTCAAAAATTCTTTCATTTTGTATATATATATATATGCCTGTTTCTGCATTCATTGTATGATAATGTCATTGGTTTTGTTTTACATATCTAAAGAAAGTTAAAGAGACTTGAGTTCTGAACAAAGATTGAATAGATTTCACTGGTTTGATACGGTAAAATATGAATTTGATAATCGTTGGGATGATGATGAAGCGTTTGAGACGGTGTGGGTGTTCACTTCTAATAACATTTAACAAAATCTAAATGAATATGAAGACAATTATAATGCAGAAGAATGAGCTCACATTGTCACCATTATAAGACATTGCTGTTGAATTTTGATGCGAAGAAGTAGATTTATAAATATCGTATGATCTTTCCGCAATAAAGTTCATTTAGTAGATTTTGTCATGATCAGGATTTCTTATTATGGTGTATATAGTTGAACATTTCCTCTTTACAAATAATTTTTTTCTTTCACTTCACAAATCTTGTCATACGCAAATGCGCATGATCAGTAAACCGCTCCAGTTAATTGAGATGACAAGCAATGTCATAAATGCTAATCAGTTGTTTTTTAACTGAATAATAAGCATTATGTATTTGTACTGTTTCATTTAGTGGTTGTTTTTCATTGTTAGATAATATGTGATACCGTGTTATGCACGATGAATTTAGTATATATATCATATTCGCATAATTCTTCGATATATCACCTGACGATTATAGTCTTTTTATTTTTTAGACTCAGTACTCTAAAAAACATAGTGTAGTATTCATCAAATGATATAAGCTATATTCTATTAAATGACTCGTAATCATAAGGAAAAATTGAATGTAAAATGTAAAATTTTGTTTTTATAAAACTTAAAATGGAATAATTGTTTAAGAAAAAATATATACACTATTTTATTTCCGAACAAGTTAAAAATATGAAGAATATTTAAGATTTTGCATCACTTATTATTTAAATAAATGTGTCTGTTACTAATAGAAGTATCAGCTATCAAATAGTTATCCGTGCTGGAATCACTATGTATTCATGTTGATTTACGTCAAAAAATTGTACTTTATGGAGTATATGTTTTGTTTAATCTAGCTACCAGAAGATTGAATTAAATATTGAAATATCTGAAATTGTTAATCTAAATATTTAAGTATTTGTAAACATGTATACTGAACTTTAAACAGTTACAGATTTGAGCTAACATTGGAATGTTTAATACTTCAACATCTAAATTGAATAGTAGATTCGAAAAGACATAGAAGTCTCCTATTCAAATACTGTTCTTGTCAAATAAAAGTGATTATTTATTTGTAAGTTTATTAAAGTAAGCAAGTGGTACTATTTGACTCTTAGTCATGACTCTTGAGTAACTGATAAACGAAAAATTAGACTAACAGATAAAAAAAAGCAAACATCACTTTTACGCTTATCTTCATTTCAAACTGGTGTCTAACATGGGTAAAGTTTTCGTGATTCGATCCGAAGTTAACTATTTTTTTCGTGACCCGGCCCGACCCGAGCTAGCTCGAGTCGGACTCTGGTATCGACCACTTTTCTCTCTTTTGAGAAAATCAATTTCTCCCTCCTCTTCTCTTCCTTGACTTCATAGTTGGAAACCAAGGATATCT